AGGAGGAGGAGGAGGAGGAGTTGTGATATCTGGTACAGGGGGGAAGAGCTGGGAGGTCAAGGAGGTTCGAGCTCGGCGAGGAACGAAGGGGCGAGCAGAGCGAGACAACTGATCGACACTTTCGAGCTAAACTTAACCCTCTCTCAGGTTCCTTCTCTCTCCTGTCCTTCGGTCTTCTCCCCCCCCCCCCCCCTTCCCCTTCCTCTCCCTCTGTCTTCTCCTTCCTCTCTCCTTCTCCTCGTCTTCCTCATCCTCGTCGGGCTTCTCAACATATTTCCTCCTCCTCGTGCTATCCATACTCCTCCTCGCTTCCGTCTTCTTGTACTGCTGTTGTCCTCTCCTCCTGCTCCTCTCCTCCTGCTCCTCTCCTCCTGCTTCTCTCCTCCTGTCTCCTCTAATGTTGCCGCAGCCACCAGAAGGGCCTGCGCTGGACTCGCTGAGAAGAGTGATAGAAGAGTTTCGAGCTACAACTTGAGTTGCTTCTCTTCATTCCTGCAGTTGACAACAAGACAACAACAAACACCATCTCGTTCATGCCATCATAGTTCTCATCTTCATCATCATCCTCTTCCTTGTCCTTGTTATCATCATCTCCTCCTTCTCATCCTCCTCCTCCTCCTCCTCCTCCTCCTCCTCCTCTCCTTCAACTCCCTCCCTCCTCCTCACGCACTCTCTGTATGCACAGAGGCTAGTGCTAGAACCGACCGTAGGATCGTGTCCTTCGGCCGCCATCTTCTCTTCAGGCTTAGGAAGCACATGGGGCCCCAGGGGTCGCGAAGGCCCTGGAAGACAGGGAGGAGCACGTCGGAGGGGGGTACATCCTCCTGCCAAGCGCTCAGGACGAGGGGGGGAAGCTGTTTCTCCTCGCTCCCAAGGCTGAACCCTTCGTCCCATCCCAGCACGTCTAGCTCGAGACCGTCGATCTCGATGTACTCCTGCTCCTCCTCCTGCTCCTCTTCCTGCTCCTCCTTGTTCTGCTGCTGCTCCTCCTTGTCCTCCTCCTCATCATCATCATCATCATCATCCTCGTCTGCTACTCGGCACTGCAGCACGACCTTGTCCTCCTTCCACACCTTGAGGTTGCGGGTGATGGCGAGGGCTCCTATGAAGGTCGCAGGGCGGCACAGAACGTGCATGCTCAGGCGCTCGAGGAGCTCGGGAGGCTTCTGCGCCCATCGCTTGCACTGCTCCATCCTCTCGTTGAGGTTCAGAAGCCACGGGCCGAGCGACTGGCTGGAGGGGAAGGAGGAGCGGACCCAGTGCGCCGGGACTCGGTCCCGCAGCAGCTCCTCTGCGAGCCTCAGCGCGTTCTCAGCTGCTGACGTGGACAGGAGGCCGCTGCGCATGATCACCTTGTCGAGGATGTCAAAGTTCCTCGCCATCTCACTTCTCAGCGCGTTGAGGATCGCACACTCGGTCGCTATGGCGTGCAGCAGCAGCATCCTGTCGGTCCCCGCGTACGTCATCTCCCCCACCAGGTTGTCATGGTCGATGGTGGCCAGGGAGACCACATCCTTGATCCCCGCTACCTTCTCCACCACCATGTCCCTGAACCCTCCAGCTGCTCTCCACAGCTCCTCCGTCCCCTCAACCTCCTGCAAGCTCCCCTCCATCTGCCCGAACAGGCTCTCCTCCAACCTCTCCGCCAACCTGTCCAGGTAACTTTCCAGCTGCTGCTGCTCCGCCGCCGCCTGCCCTCCATCTTCTCCCTCGCCGCTCCTCTGGCAAGACAAGATCATTTCCCATAACCCTTGGAGAGCCTGAGACGAGCTGGAGTCCAGCTTGTGGCCGTAAATCAAGTCCGCCACCCTCTCCATGGGCGGCTGCCTGCTCCCTGACTCGAGGAGGACAAGTGCAGACTCGAGATCCTCGACCCCGACCCTGCTCGAGCTCATGGAGCCGGACTCGCTCCTCCTCATCAGCCCCTGGAACGCAACCAGGACAGAGTGTAGCAAGTTGACGAGCCTAGCTTGAGAGCGCTGAGCTGTGCTGCCGTCCTCCAGTAGGACCTGGTCGTACCTGCCGTACCTGGCTCGTATGCCCTGGGGCTGATAGAAGTCTCGGACCTTAATGGAGTTGCGTAGGATCAAGTGGAGCTTCGAGGTCACTTGCAGCAGCTCGACAAACACGACGGAGCAGGAGGAGGAGGAGGAGGAGGAGGAGGAGGAGGAGGAGTAGAGGTCGAGGATGTAGTCGCAGAACTGATGCTGGATCTGTTGATCCAGGTGGAGGTCCCTTACAAGGATCCAGTCTCCTCGTCGCAGCGACTCTTGGAGGGACTTTGAAAACCCGTCAGATGTTGTGCTCAAGGGGATGAGCTGCTTCTTGAGCTGCTTTCCCAGCTCGACGATCCTGTACATGTAGATAAAATCGTCGACTTCCTCGGGTGAGTTGCAGAGGAAGGAGACAAGGAGGGGCTGCTGGGCTTGCCTGCTGTCCTTGGCCTCCAGGACCAGGGAGGCTTCAAGGTGCCGCTTGAAGAAATTGTTCAAGTGCTCGCTGGATGTGACGTCTTCGTCCACAAGAGACGACATGATGTGCTGATGGACGTCCGCACAATTTGTCGCCTGTTCCATCAACTTCTTCTCGCCCTCCTTCATGTCTTGCAGCAAGCAGGAGCATTCCTGCTGCTGCTGCATGGCAAATTCCGCGAGCTTGCCGAGGCTCAAGTCGATCAAGCATTCGTTGCCGTCCTCCTCGGTTTGTGGGTTGAAGATGTAGCGACTGCAGAAGTCTCGAGAGAGCCCTCCGTTAGCGATCTCGGTCATGAAGTAGAAGCTGAGGAGGAAGTGAAGCCGGTGGTCCTGGTGGAGGCCGGGAAGGAGGTAGTAGACGATGTTGTCCAGCAGGATCTTCCTCTCCTTGTACACGTCGTCACCTGTCTTGACCGTCAGGAAGACCTTGATGACGCGGAGGAAGAGGTTCAACGAGAACTGATAGCTTGAGTCCAGGTCTTGGAACCTTTTGATGAGCAGCCAGATGGAGGCGATGAGGCGGATAGACTGCAGGTGTGACCTGAGCTTGTTCTTCACTCGCGTCATCCCCTCCTCCACCTCCACCGTTCGTTTCTTCATCCTGTCAAGCCTCAGGTACTCGTTCCTGGCACTCAAGACTGGCTGCCCGTCGGAGAGCAGGAACGCGTCCAGGAACTCAGTCTGGTGCATGATGGCTCGCTCGAGGTTGGTGTACTCGCTCAGACAGGAGATGGAGGAGTAGGAGGTCTGCTTGAACTCGTGGAAGCTCGACTCGTCTCGGATCAGCAGCTCCTCCTCCAGCAGCAGCTGCGTGATGTGCTCCTCCCCGGCCTCGAAGCTGATGCAGTTCGCGTGCACGGCGCTCGACACGTCAAAGTCATGGGCGGTAGTGGTGAAGACAAGCTGGAAGGAGGGGTTGTACTCGACCCACTCGAAGCCCGCGTCCAAGAAGGTTGTCTTGCCCTTCTTGATTGTGTTCTTGAGCAGTATCTTCCTCAGCGACCTGTCTAGACTTGCCTCGTTCGACTTGATCATCAACGTCTGTCCCGACGCGACGCACAGCTTGATCCCTTGGGTCTTCTTCACAAACTCCACGTCTCTGATCAGCACTCCCTTCCCATCTCGCTCCATGCTCGCCAGCCATGGCAGGCACAAGAGGTCTGGGTCGATCAGCACGGGAAATCGCACGCACTTGTCAGCGATGCACATGTTCTCAAGGGCCCAGGGGTACACGCTGTCGCAGTTCATCCCCGCCCATCCCTCCATGAAGTACTTCTCGTACTCCGACGGCTGTACCAGCGTCTCCATGGCCGACTTCTCCTCCTCGAACCTGATGCTCACCAGCCTCATCTTCTCCTTGCACTCCACCTCCAGGTACTGATGCCGCTGCTTCTCGCTCAGCAGCCCCGTGTACGTCACCATGGCGCTGGCGAGGAGGCACTGGCCGACGCAGGTCTTCATGCCGCTCTCGATGTTGGCATGCCTTGTCTTCCAGTGGCTCACCTGGTTGCTCAAGTCTGACAGGAACTGCCCGCAGCTTCTCTGCACCACTGCGTTCGCCTCGATGTCCCTGCTGAGCTCCGAGATCTGAATCGTCAGGTTCTCGTAGCGCTCCGACACCGAGGCGAGCTCGACCTTGAGCGTCGCGATCAGCTCCTCGTTCTCAGCTCTTGTCCTGTCCAGCTGCTCCTTGTCGAGGGTGGCCGACTGGTAGGTGGCGATCTTGGGAGCGATGCTGGTGTCGAACACCTGCTTGTACTCGTACAACATGCACACCCACTGCCACACCCCCACCAGATGAGTCTCGGGCTCAGGCAGCTCAGCAAGAGTTCTGCTGATATTCTCCTTCTCCTCTACGTGGACTCGAAGCGCTTGCATGACGTCCGGAGTGAGTTTGTTAAGGGACAAGTCGGCAAGAACCGAGACAAACTGATCCTGATCGACGATCTTCCTCGACTTGTTCCAGCTCACATCCCACCAGCCATCGCGATCTGCGAGCAAACAAGTCAGGGACTGCTTCACGAGCATGCATGCACACCTTTCTGACTCAGAACTATCACGCAGCACGCCAGGACCTTCTCTGTCGCCTGGGAGGGCGAGGAGACCCAACGGATCTCCGACAGCTTCTTCTTGTCGAGACTCCTCACGGAGTCTGCCACGAAGTTCATGGACGATTGCATGAGCGACTGAGATTCCTCCATGTCAGCTTTTGACATTGAGATGACAAGCTCCTTCTGCCTGATCTTGTCTACCGTCTCGTCGAACTGCTTCTTGTGATGCTCCAGGTTCCCCGAGATCTTTCCCAGCTCAACGATCAGCTTCTCGACGGAGCTCTCTTGCTGGGCGAGCTCCTCCTTCTTCTTCTCCTGATCTCTGTTCAGCTGGTCAATCTTGGCATTCAGCTCTTCCACATTGGAGAGGATTTTGATCAGAGCCGACCTCTCCTTCTCCCGCCGTTCGCTCTCAGCCGACAAGATACGATTGAAGAAGTCCAGGAACTCAACGAAGTAGAAGGGGGGGAAGTTGGTGAGCTTGTTTCTCTTGCTCTGAGCCATTCGGGACGCCCTGGAGAAAGCGAACAGGCTGAACTGGACCAGCGAGTACTCCGAGGACAAGAAGGCCCCGTAGCTCGAGTTTCGCACCGCCAGCGCCTTCTTCTCCGAGATCTCATTTAGAGACTCCTGGCTCCAGGCTCCCAGGTACTTGAGGTACGAGCTGTGGGGAATGATGGGAAAGTGGCGAGCGAGGTCCTCCAGCCCCCCGACGGACAGGCAGAAGAGGAACTGCACGTTGTCTCTGACGTCAGCAGCTGGTCTGACCGCTACTGACGCCTGAGACTCCTTCTTGTTGAGCGAGCCGAAGTCGACAGCGTTGAGCAGCTGCTCGTTCTCCAGCGCGTCCTCGTTGACGATTTCTTTGAGCCATTCGTCGTTGTAGTCGTAGGACCCTTGTATGAACTGCTCGATCTCAGCGTAGTCTCTATCGGACAACTGGTCGTCGACGATGATGGCTACATCCTTGTTGGTGATCCAGGACTTCAACAGCTGCCGATGAAACTCCTGCTGGAAGTCAGAGACAGCACCTGACATGTCGGTCAGTCCCTTCCCTTGCAACCTCCTGCTCACAGCACCTGACTTGTCCGGGATCGAGATCTCCTTCCCCAACGAGAACGCCGCGAGCTTGGCTAGGCTCCTCTTGCCCGACCCGTGCTCTCCGAAGAGGACGATGTGGCCGTCCGACTTCTTCATGGCGTGCAGAACCTTGAGCAGGTGATCAACAAACTCGTCGAAGAGGAGCAGATCGATCTTGGGGAACACGGAGTTGTACTCCGAGAGCCTCTTCTCGAACTCTGCTCTCCAGTGGTCACGAGGAAGGTTGCAGGGTGAGATGGTCCCGCTGTCCATGTCGTTGAAGTGAAGCATGGACTCAAAGTCTTGGACGTCGTTGTTCTCGCACTCCAGGTACTTTGCGAGCCCTTCCTTGATGAGAGCGTGCAGGATGTACTTGTCTTTCTTGTTCGACAGCCTCTCCCCGTACGCAAGGGCAAACTCCTGCGTCCAAAGGCTCACGTACAGCGAAGGCTTGTCGTAGATCTCCGGGGTAGCCCTCGACAACGCGGAGATGAAGGAGCAGACGTCGTGTAGGGAGTAGTGGCAGTAGTTGGGATACTTGAAGTTGCAGAACGTCTGTACCAGGTTTCCGTGGATCTCTGCCAGGGCCTTCCCCAAGGGCTCAACGATCTTCTGAACGGGCTCGAGGAAGTCTTGGGTGAGAGAGGAGATGAGGGAGACGAAGATAGAGTAGACGGTCTCGAACGTGGGGGAGGGGATCGAGATGCAGACGAACTTGGTCAAGAGCTGGTGGTCGTCTTTGTTCATGGACAGGCTGCCTGTCTTGGTGACCAGGTACTGGACGTTGACGATCTCGTTCATGGACTGTGCGCTTTCGTCGAGGAAGGTGCGGTACTCAGACACTTGGTGGAGGAACGAGACAACGCTGTTCAGGTAGTTCTTTCGTGTCTTGACATGTGAGATGCCGTCGATGAAGAAGACTGCCTTCTTTCCTTCTGCAGGGCACAGCACGTTGCCTTTCTTCTGGCTCAGCCGATTCTGCAGCTGAGCTTGCAGGTGTCTGTGGTCGGTCCCCCGGTTCAAGTAGATGCTAGAGCAGGAGCAGTCGTTGGAGACAGTCGTCAGGAACTCTCTGACCATGGAGCTCTTGCCGACTCCTCCTCCTCCCACCAGCAGGAAGTGGATGGTGGACGTCAGCTGCAGCGACAACAACCGGTTGATGGCAATCTGAGTGGGAGAGGAGATAATGATACTTCGGGTATCCAGCTCGCTTACAAACTTGGTGCTCGGCACCAGGTCGTTCCACGACATGACCTCCAGCGTCTCGGGGTGGAAGGTGTAGTCGAAGATCGTTCCCGAGAAGTCGATCTCGCTGCCCCCGAACGTTCGCATGTTTGACAGCCACCAGTCATGAAAGACGCGCTTGTTGTCTGAGAACCCGTCGGCCACCAGGGCTCCTCCAAACCCCCAGGCTGCCGAGAAGTCAAAGATGATGGAGCACTTCTTGCCCACTGCGCTCTTGGCCGTCCAGTCTTCCACCCGCACGAGGCTGTCCATGAGACGGAGGAAGGTCAGGAAGCAGGTGCGGAAGGTGAGGGGGAGAGAGTAGGTCAGTTTCACGTCCAGTCCCTTGAGGTGCAGGAGATGAGGGATCCGCGTGTGGAAGAGAGTCTGGAACTCGGACCTGACGTTGTCACGGGGCAGGCCGTCGATCCATCGCTCGAGGAGGTGAGTGAGAGGGCAGGTGTCCTCGTCTATGAAGATGAGGCCGGAGCTGGCGAGCATGGAGGGCGCGTGATGGTCCAGCCTGCTAGTCTCAATGATGATCTTGTTGACCTCAATGTCCTCCGACGTGTACCAGATGTTGGACACCCAGTCAGGGCAGATGATGCCGTCCAGCACAAGCCACTTCTCTACCTCCGAGACTCTGTCCCTCTGCCTCATGGTGGTGAGATTGAAGACGACGTCAAAGAACTTGCTGTTTGACCCGCAGCTCGCAGGAAGCGAGAGATTGGTAATGTTGGGGTCAAGGCCCTGGTATAGCACTCTCCTCCCCGTCGATCGGATGTGGTTGGCCGCACTTCTCCACACAAACGACTTGCCTGTCCCCTGGTCTCCAAACACGTGGAGGATGCGGCCGACTTCAAGGGCGGCCTTGAACGCGTTCACCTTGCGGAGAGCAGACGTTGACATGTTGTCGTCGCTCTCGCTGACGTGAGCAGTGAAGTCGTCGATACGCTTCGGGAACTGCAGCAGCTCAGCGTCTGTGAAGACGTGCCGATGGACCGCACGCAAGAGGTCCAAGGACTCGTTGTCGACGAAGGCTCGGAGGGCCCGGAAAATCGCCTCCTCGATGATCATCTCCTCGCTGTTGTTCACCGGGTCTGCCTGCAGGATGGCGACGAAATGCTTGATGAGAGACTTGAAGAACCGCGCGTTGAGAGCCTCGCGCGGCAAGGAGGGGATCAGCAGCGCACAGAGCTGGCAGTACTTGACGATGGTCAGAGACAGCTTGTCGTGACTTTGAAACCCTTCAGACAGCAGTAAGGTTTGTATCAGCGTGCGCAGGTCCGGCTTGATGATCGCAACCGACCGGAGGATCGGCTTCATGCTGCTCGGGAGGGAGTAGGCTGAAGGGCTAAAGTCGAAGCAGAGAAATATACCCGTGGGGTGCTTGAACCGGATGGGAATCCTTGATATCTTCGCGTCCTGTCCAGCTATCGCTGCCAACACTGCTGAGCTCAGGCTTGCAAGGAAGCTGTACTTGACGTTGACGTTCAGACTCTCAAAATTCTCATAGATCAGCCATGACCCCGTGGCGAACGCGCAGACGATGGGGGGAAACAACGAGTCTACTTGCGTGTCCTGTGTGCAGTTCCAAACCTGCGCTGTGTAGCCCGAGGCAGCAGCGAGCTGCAAGACCGTCTCCTTCTTTCCTATCCCCTTCCTCTGAGGAAACCCGACGATCATCTTACTGTAGATGGCGGATATGATGCCGAAGAAGGCTCTGAGAGTGGGAGGAGCGATGTAGAACGCTTCTCTCGGGGAGACCAGCTCGTTGCCATAGTCGAGGCTCGCACTCCCGATCTGCAGCCGACAGGCCAGGTGCTCGTCCTTGGACGCGTTCCTCATGGAGTACCGCAGCTGCATCTGCCACTCGAAGGGAAGGCCAGCGACGTTGCTGCCCGACTGCTGGAGCAGAGACTCGATCACGTCCTTCATGAATGCGACCGAGGGGATCATCGCCGCGAGCTTCCTTCGGACCTCGAGGTTCAGGCTCGCGTTTCCTCGGATGCGGTTGACGAGGTGGGAGAGGTCGTCTGAGCACTCCTGCGCTACCTTCCTGAGGGAGACAGCCCTCTCGCTGCCCTCCATGTACAGACATTGCTCTACCTTTCCCGTCCAGTTGATCTTGTACCCCAGCTGGATCACTTGCAAGCAGAACTCCTCCATGAGCGAGTGAAGCTTCCTGGTCTGCAGCTCCTCCACAGCTCGCTTCCCCGATATCTTGATCGACAGCTTCAGCTGTCGCAGGCAGTCAGGTTTCAACACGTCAAGACGCAGTCTACACATGACATGTGACCTACCTTATCATCCACGTCATTGATGAGACGATCGACAGCATCGTTCTTTCGGAAGTACACGTGGTCACCCTCGAACTCTATCTTCTCTCCTGCCTCAGTCTGCACCCCGATCAAGGTCAGGATGAACTCAGTGGACTCGTCGGCCTTGAGCAGGTCCTTCATGCCATGAAAGATCTTGCTGAGGTGTGTGCAGGTCAGGACCTCATGCATGCTACGAGACAGCAGCTGCACTGCGTCGTCATCAGAGAGGATGAAGAGCCTCGGGCAGTTGAGGCGCTTCTGCAGGAGGACCGACGACACGCGAGTCTGCAGCTCCTTGAGCTGTTGGATGAGGTTGAAAGCGGCGCTGAGCTTGTCAGGGTATGTGCAGATGTCTTTGAGCAGCGTCCTGGTCTCGATCCGAAGGATGAATTTTCTCAGCTCGGCGTGCAGAGACACAACGTCCTCCTTGAGCACCTTGAACACCTTATGGTTCCTCACCATAGTCCACCTCTCCTGGATCTCCAGCAGCAGGCACAGGAACTTGTCGGCGTCCAGCACCTTCAAGTTCATTTCCTGGATCTGTTGCTCGCAGAAGCTGGTGCAGGGGAGAGCCGAAGCTTGCAGGAGCTCCGACTGCAAGTCCTTAATGGCAGCGAACGCGTTGATGAGCGAGTCCGTCATGACGTCTGCATAGAGGTCTTGAGAGTTGATGAAGTACAGGTGTATGTCAGACCACTTGCCTTCTATGACAGCAAGCAGCTTCTCTACCTCCAGCTCCTTCTTTGACTCGGTCAAGAGCGAGAAGAACTCATCGCTGTAGACGTCCAACTGGAGTTGCAGGATGTTGCTAAACTCCACCTTCCCTTGAACGGAGAACGAATGACCGGAGCAAGCCATCAACCACTTGAGATGTCGCTCTTTGATCGACTCGTCCATCAGGGGCTTCAGGTAGGGCAGGGAGCTTCGAATCGTCTTGATATGTGCCTCAAGGTCGAGGAAGACCTCGTACTCGCGGAAGCTGCTGTCAACCGTCGAGCTGATGATCTGCTCGTACTGTGACGTCATTCGCTCAAGTTGTTCCACGTCGACATCCTTCCAGCTCTTCTCGTAGATCGAGTTCAGCTCCGTCAGAACCATCTCTCTGACGTCCCACAAGCTCTTGCACGCCAGCAGCAGCCGCCTGTAGTCGTCCACGTCGGAGATGTCGATGAAGATGGTCGTCTCTAGCAGGTCCCTCAGCTCACAGAGGATGATCGACCTTGTCTCGATCCTCTCCAGTCGCTGGAAGAAGCTCTGGATCAGCTCGTATGCCTCCCCCGCGGCGCATCCCTTGTGCCACAACACAGAGGAGTTCAGCTCCGTCTCGAGGTTTCTCAGCTCCTCCGCCACGTTCTCCGACATCCTCTTGAGCCCGTTGGACTCTGACGCTATCAGAGGGTCGAACGACTCCTTCATCTGCACGATCGAGTGCTGCAGGTCCGTCCATGCTGACGTCAGGCTCACCAGCCGCACCTTGTCCTCAGGCACCGACAGCACGTCTAGGTCGTCCATGGCATCCTTGGCGTTGCGGAGCCACTCGAGCCCCTCCTCGAGGTCCAGCCTGTGGTTCTTGATGTCCATGTTGAACTTCAGCACCTGCCAAGCTCGTCACCAGGCCAGCAGCCCCGACGCCTCTTCTCACCTTGGTCAATGCCAGCTGCCTGTCACCCTCGGACTCGAGAGTGAGTTTGATTTCTCGGAGCATCGAGGTGACAAACTTCTCAATGTCCCGGAGGGTCTTGGAGAACAACTCATAGACGGATGCTGTGCAGTAGTGGATGATTTCTTGTATCCTCAGGTCGATGAAGACTTTCACTGGTTGACAGTTCACCCTGATCCAACTCCACTCGTAGAAGTTGTTCATCTCAGCAAGTTTGGATTTGTTGTGATTCAAGCTTTCAATGCAGTCTTCAAATTTTTCGATGAGGAATGGAGCAACGTGCTTTCCTTTTGTGGAAAGATTAACAAGCTGATCGACAAAGACTTCTTTGTCTGAAGTGATGATGGAACCGAAGTCCTCCAGTGTCATTGCGAACTTTTCAAGATTTGTTTCAACAATTGACAGATGCTTTGTGATCTGGGTCTGTTGTCCTTCAATCTGCGTGTCTAACAATGCTGTGTCGTCGTCGTGAAGGTCTATCTCATCGTCATGTACTAGTTTCATGAAGCCCAGAATCTTGTCGTTCCACCTTTGAAAGCACTGAAAGATTGAGAACTTGTCTCGTGAAGCTATCTCCGGCGAGAAAGTGATGCACTTTTCTCGGACCTCCATGTAAATTTCAATGAAGGAATGATTTTGCAGATCTCGATCGTCAAAATATGACAGCAGTTCCTCTATACTTCTTAGCACAAACTTCTTCATGTTGAAGGATATTGTCTGTTTCATCCCTCTGAAATATCTCTGCCAGATGGAGGAAGTGGAATTTAGAAGACTGAGTCTTTTGATTTCATCGACAATGTCGTAGAGGTTAGATAGATCCGATCGTAATCTTGTTTCTTGTTCACTGATGCGAGCACAATATTTCTCATCAAACACTTCCAGGCTATACACCTCTTCTTTCTTCTTCCACAGCAACTTTGACTCAGTCCAACCATTGAAAACTTTGGTGATGTCCTTCGCGCAAGCAAGCAGTTTTCTACTCAAATTAAGGTTCTCCCTCAGAACGATGAAAAGATCGTCGATGATCTCGTTCAACTTGAAACTTGTCCATGTGATGTTGGTGCTCACATCATGGATCATCTCATCGAGCAGCTTCAAGTTCTCCGACATCAATAACCATTCTGCATCATTTTTTGCCTCGTGCAATGTATTGTACATGTCGGATATGAGAAAAAGTTTGGAGACTTGGAGCTGAAATTGATCCGAAAACTCCAGAAATCCGTGAATTCGGAGAGGGATCTTGTAGTCCAGCCTCGAAAAACTTCTTGCCTCTTGCAAAGTCTCAAAGAAAGAATAGTTTACGTTCACCGTGATCTTGTTGTCACTCAAGACTGTGAGAACAGGATAGTCAAGTTCAAACTGTGGTCCATTCTGGATTTCACTGAACCAGTTGTTGTAGTTCACTTGGATGTACTTGTCCAGGGCAACTGACAGCGATTCAAACTCTGATCTCACCTCTCGGATGTAGCCGAAGGAGTTTGGAATGCCAGCAATGAATCGCATCTTGTTGATCGATCGGCTCACCCTCTCCTTCAACGCCTTTCCCCACAGACACTTGGCCGAAACCTTGGGGATGGTGCAAGCAAAGTGAAGCTCAGTCTCGAGTGCCTCGTTGATGAACGAGTTGCGCGCATGCTGTATCTCCGCAAGCAGCACGCTAGTCACCTTCTCCATCATCTTCTCGGCGTACGAGTTGATGTTCTGAAGCTCCAGGATCGGACCCAGCAGCAGGAACGCGTCGAGCATGCTCTCAGAGCTGTTGCAGTCTTCGAATACCTGCAGTCAGTCAGTGAATGGTTCAAACAAGCCATGCGACTCGCTCTACCTGTTGTAGGAGAGACAGTGCCCGGAATTCAATAGACTTTGTCATTGCGGTGTACTGACTCATCTTCTCGTCGAACTCTCGTTGAACTTCAATGTCAAGCAGATCGTATGGTACATGGATGACATGAAATATCATTTCAATCACATCTCGATGTATTTCTCTCGCACAGGAAGTTGTCTTCAATCCATTTATCCCTCCAAATATCGTTGTCTTGAGGTTCTCGTAAACGTAAGCATTCTTTGCCATGATCACCAAATCCTGCGCCCTCTGAATAAAACTATCTAACTTCCCAAAGACTGACATTTTGGCAATCCAGGGATTTACCTTCTGATCTGAGAAATGTTCGACAGATTTCTGTTTGTACTCGTCGAACATGTCTTTTAAGCTGACGCACATCTGAATGCTTGATTCAAGTCGATGAATGGCTTCGACAGGATCAGAGATCAGTATCTCCACGCCATCCTTCTGAAGAATGTACTTGGATGTCTGTATGATGGCTACGTTCTCCAGGCGTCGAATGAAGGTGGAAAGTCTTGAAGATGTGTTGTAGTAGGGGGAGTGAACCGTAATCAGAAACAAGATGTGCATGGCCTTGGCCATGGCTGCAACCCACTCCTTGTCGAAACCGACGTCCAGGATCAGCAGGGCGGGTAACGCTGCTCCCGTGAAGCTCCGGTCCGCGGAGGGCATCACGTCGTTGGAGTCTTCGACAGGAGCCTCGTCTCTCGAGACCTCTATGCGATGGTTTTCAAGTGTGTTGACTGAGTCTTGTATGCCCCGGAGGAACTGCAACGACACGCCTTTCAGCACTCTCTGCTGTGATGAAGAAATTGGACAGGTCAATGAATGAGAGGAGAGGGAGAAGGGGATGTGCCGTAGTGGTGTCTAAAGGAGGAGGGAGGGGAGGGGGAGGGAGGAGAAGAAGTAGATTTCAGTCACCTTGCAGTTGCTTCTTGCCTCTTCGGCAGCGCTTCGTGCAGCTGAGATGCGTCAGTGAAAGGCTGAGAGAGAAGGCGATGTTTACCTTGAGAAGCAAGATCGAAGGCATTGCAGTAGGTTGATTGGGATTTGCGAAGTAGAGAGATGATGGTTATGATCTTGGAGTCATTGAGTTGAGCGCAGATGTAGTCAAGCTCATCTGATCGAAACCTCCAGAAAGCGATTTCTGCGCGAGGTGTCAGAGGGAGGAGGAGAGCAAAGCAAAGGTCACCCATGCTTGGTAGAGGATACTTGCATGTCTCTGAGATGTCTTCGGAGTCCTTGGCGATGGAATATTGGATCTGCTTGGTCCAGGACAGCACAGTGTTCTCCATCAGGGTGACCGCAGCCCTGTGCTTGAAGGAATCTGAATTCTGAAAGTCTAGACCGGTGGGCAGGGGGAGCACCACGGAGTTGTGAGACTTTCCCTTGAGGATTTCGAGAGAGCAGATGAAGTCGGAGAGGTGCATCGGAAACTCCTTGATCGCGGTGTTGTTGAGCCCCTTGTGATCATGCCGAAGCGTGAAGAGAGGGAAGAAGACTTCCTTGCACAGGGTTGACAGCTCGTCGTACACAGAGCTCTTCAGCTCGATCCACAGGAGGATAGAGGCGGGGTCATGGTAGGGTACCTTGGCCGTGTCCTCCTTCAAGAAACAGATGCAACGAGACCTTTGAAGGAGCTCGACCATCGGGATGTCTATGGTACAGAAGAGCTTGAACCCAGCTTCAACCTCCTCGTTGATAAAGAATATCTTCATGTTGTTAGTATGGTCCAGAAAGGAATAAATGTTAACGCGGTTTTCTCTCACTTCCATCATCTTCTGAAAGCTGTCGGGGGATATTCTGCACCACAAAGTGTTAAGCAGCGCAAGAGGCGGGGAGCTTGACATACTCTAACGCCGAGCAGACCGCTTCGTTGATCCAGTCTATTCGCATGTCGTCCCCTGCTGCCTCGCCCATGCGACTGCTGGTCTCGCTCCTCGCTCTCGACCTGTTCTTCGAGGAGCTGCCTTCCAGACTGAGCCTCCCATCTATCCTCCCCCTCGACGACCGCGTGCTCTCCATCATCTGAGACCAACGTCACAAACTCTCCTCGTCTCAGCTTCTTGCATCTTGCTCCTCCTAACTGCGGCTGCCAGGGAGGGACCTGAAGCCTGGTCTCAACTTGTTTCTAACGCACGATTGCAAGCGTCGAACTGTCTTGATGTTCGAGCAATACACTCTGAAAGATCGTTCAGATAGCCTTGCCATCTTGCTTGACCCTCTTATCGTTGTCGTGTACCTCAATCTCTACCTCTTCCCGCCTTCGAGTATCTCCCGCACCTCTCCACTGAGATTGTACCCTACATCAATCAGCCTCTTCGCTCAGTCCTGCCGGCTATCAACGGCTAGTATCTCCTCTTCTTATCGCCTTCTCTGTTGTATTCCTTGCTGCTATCAGTCTTTCGCTCTCAGACGCATCGTTTCCAGAATCCAGTCGGGCCTACTCTGGGCCGCCGCCGGGCCCCGCCCCGGGCCGGTCGTGCCAAGCCCCGGGCCCGGCCCCCCAGCCGGGCCGCCCCGCCGGGCCCGGGAGACGGTCACTGCCGGGGCCCCGGACCGTCCGTCACGGTACTGCAGCTGAGTTTGGCCCCGCCCCGCGGCCGCGCCAGTTTCCGGGCCCGGGCTGCCGCAGGCCCCCGCTTAACTTAATCATGGCATTGAATGATTCAGTCAGCAGTAGTGCCCGGGAGAGCGCAGCGGCGGGAGTCAGCGACCCAGTCTTCGCCGAATCTGAGCGATGTAACTAGGTTCTCAAGAATGTCAATCACTCTGGCAGTGGTGACTCCCGGCTGGCACTGCGGCCGCTCCCGGGCCCGGGCCGCCCAGCCGCACTGCTCGACTGAGTCGGACCGTAACTCCGGATCGGACTCCGGACCTCGGCCAAGTCTGCCCACTGAGTCAGTCACTGAGTCTGGCCCCGTGGGTGCAGAGGGGATGAGGGCCTATGCGAAGAGCCACAAAGCAAGGTTTCATGGCTAGTGAGGCAAAGAGCGATGGGATGGAAATAGAGCGAGAGGCTGAAGGAGCAACTGATAGATAGCGACATCTGAGTGATGCGACTAAGTTACGCTGTCTATCAACTTGATGACACGATGATATGATCCGAAGGCAGTCCATGAGTCTTGCACGTTGCCACTTTTTGACTCCGTTGATTTTGCAGATGAGGGGGAAACTTTACAGTCGCTTCGATGACAAGAACTTTATTTCTATAGGAATTGCTGCTATCTTCATTGTTACTCTGTGTGCACTTGCTACGCTGTCGAAAACAAATCCTACGGTCACCCTGCAATCTGCTAGTGCTGTTCACCGACAACCATTGAGCGCATCTGGAAACTCGGGGATTCTTCTGCCGGCAGCCAGGTCAAACAACATCCGCGTTTTCAGCGGCAAGATGCTCTGTGGAGTTGGGGAAACGTCATGTGTGCATCCTTGCGATGCGTTTTACACCATAACAGACGAACCGATCCCTGAGGACTGCAAGTGCAAGTGCGTCGCTCCAAACCCGCACGAGTTTTACAGTGAGGGATCTACTATCTGCACTTGCCCAGGATCCCCCATCTCACCTGAAAACGACTTGTTTCCTTATCCTGAGGGTGAGGGGCCAGCGCCTCGCAACAACACAGATGAGGAGGAAACTGCTGTGGCAACTTCTGCTTCCCACGCAAGCTCTAGTTTGTCCATGAGGAGGTTCAACAGGCCTGTGTATGGAAATCGCCGGTAATGAAGTTTGATTGTATTGAGACTTGACTGAGATTCGAATCTTTTCCAAGGTATCCTGTGTTGCGCAGAGGGTATGAACCAAGGATCGCACAGTGGTCGAAAAAGGAGTCACGTTATGGGAGGATCGCTCTGCCTACACTTCCTGTTCGATCACATTTCATGATGACACAGCACACTGACAACGGTGGTCAGGCAAGAGTGAACCAGGGCCTGAATAGGTATGAACCAGCACCTGCGTTTACGTACAGACCGAGAAATGGAGGTCTCTTTGGATCATGGTGGCAGTCCAGGCCAAACCAAGGGCTGTGGGTTGGATCCCCCCCTCCCTATCTGCCGCCGGATGGTGATTATCCGGGAGGCAGCACGGGAATTCCTATGGTGAGAAACTTGGAGGGTGGTTTCTGAATCCTCCTCTCCTTGCGATGTACATCCAAGTGATGCTTGTGCTTCTAGGATGGCTATCTAGCTTTTGAGACCGGCTACGGCGAAGAGCCTTACCATGGGATCTATGCTCCTATGCAAGAGGCAGGAATCAGCAGCTGAATCAACAAATCTGAGTGATGGTGGACCGATATTATTTAGACAACTTCTCATACAACATGATGTGATGCGATGAAATAAAAAAAATCTCATTAGTAGCAACGGTATTACCGTCCGAGCCTGCCTCAGACAGGAATCAAAAACTACCCCCCCTCTCCCCCTCCTAACAAGGACCCCTCCCTGGGACGTCAAACCCTCTCGAATTTCCTTGAGTGACCCCTCCGTGCCCAACCATCACCCCCGCCTAGTCCTACAGCACTCTCTCCCACCCCACCCCTCTTTGCAGATTCGTTTCTACCCACCCGTCCTCTAGCCTCGTCATAGAGTACCTAAACCGGTTCGGATTCTGTTTTTGTCTCGGCCCCCCCACCCTACCCCTACCCCCCAGATGGTGCACTTGCTACTGTACCCCTACTAGTTAACTTCATGTGCCTAACCTGAGGCTGCTTTTTTAAACCCCTTGGACCCCCCTTTCTAGCCCATACTACCCTTTCTTGGTAGACCACCCTTTTCGTGCTGCCCCACCCCACCCTTCGTAGTTTTTTGAACCGCCCTCATTATTTGATTTGACATGGCATGTTGGCAGACAAGCAACGCGGCTTTCTCGCATGCCTGGAGGCGGAGGGCAGTAGGGAGCAAGAGCAGGAGGTCATGTCAGGGGTTGGAATACAGAACGAAGAAGAGGGGCAGGAGCAGGTACAGGTAGCAGGAGCTCTTGAAGGGATTGTTGTGGGTTGCCGGCTTTGCCCGTCTTGTCCTGGAGTAAGACTCGATCAGAATAGTCCAGGACAGGAGGAAGGTCAGGAAAAGCAGTTTGCTTTGTTCACGCTATAATGCCATTTTGCCGAATCGTTGGGATCGCAGCATGTGGGATCAGTTAGGTTGATAACTATGGAACAATCTTAATCTCCGGCAGCAGCAGCTGGACTAAGTAACTTGTCTGCAATTTTAGCTTAAAGAAGATCACAGAACTTTTGCAAGCTAATGGGCTGCGTGAAACTCATAGACTTCTTGCCAGGTATCCATCTCTCATGACAGTAAGCCTGAGAACGTGGGAGCATCCGCTCAAACCATGGGTAATCTTATCGAGCTATATCCGTTCCTCCATTCCTCTCTTCTGACTTTCATTTCGCGCTGCAGGAGCGAGAAAAAGTATACCCAGGCATGGCGCAAGCAGAAACACGACCTTTGGTCGGAAAGCACATCCCTGCACAAGTCGGCATGCGTGTTGCGATGTCTCTTGAATACAGAAGCGAGGTGTTCAACAGTTGTGATGCCGCAACGAAAGCTAGTTTGACTACTTTCTCTTGAAGGGGCTTGGAACAATCACTTACGTGGATCCTGGAGGAGGTAGGAATCTTGTTTTGAATGAAAGCTGGTTGAGACTAGCGTCGAATAGGTCACTGCAGTGTGGTCTGGGACAGTTCTGGGGAAGAAGACAAGTCTGATTCTAATTTCTGCTTGTTCAACTTGTTTTATATGATTCTTACAGATGCCTCTTCACCGGAGACAGTGGTGATTACTATCTGGTATGCTCAGTTCTCTTTCGAGGATGAGCTTTGTCAAGCGGGATGACAACTGGTCATCGCTTCAGGTCTTCGTTGGAGCTGGTGAGCAGCATGGTATGGGAGCCGAAGACCTGTATGAAAGCAGAGCTTCGGGAGCGACTGATGAGCTCAGATCGTATCTACGTGGAAGTAGCCACAACATGGCGGATGAGGCTGAAAAGAAGAAGGTATTCAAATCCAACAAGATTGAGTTCACTCACAAGCTTGTTTGCGACGAGGGCAGGCACTCGAAGAAGTTTCGCAGCTCCATGATGGGTTGAATGTCCATGGTCCGCCCCGATCAATGCCGCAGTACATCTCGGAAAGTCCTATCAACCTGAATACCAACCACTCTTTGTGAGCAACATAAAGCCCCGCAGGCCAAGGGTTGATTTTTTGCAGATACAATCAAATGAATTCCTCCAATGGGAATGGAGAGAAGATATCTGATGAGACTGTAGAGGAAATGATCCAGTCAATCAGGTGAATTGGTGATGACAAAGCAATTATAGCCTCATTTGGTTTCAGAGATCAAGTCGCGCAATTCAACTCTCGTCCGAAGGGTTCCAGCGCGGTTACCCTACCTAAGTTGAACCTGCATCACCGATCGAAGCTTGGAGGTCTTGCTTGCGGATGCACTACTTATTCTCTCTAATGTTTCATTCTCACAGCATCAACGACACCCAACAATTCACCTCTCGTTCAGGTATTGCACACGAGCTTCATGCAAAAAGAATCATCGTCGCTTGATTGCTAGGTCAACGAGGATGGAAACATGATGAATCGAGAAAAACCTCATCACTTCCATGGCGATGAGAAATCGAGGTTACATGTTGTCTAGATGCTCTGCCTAGACTTTGATGTGATTGGCAGTCTGCCAGAACACTCCCAGGGGCGGGCACTGCAGGAGCCAACAATCATGCTTCCGGTCCCGGTCGAGGACGAGAGATCTCCAGCAGTCGACCCCGAGGATGCGAAGCCAGCAAGTCACGGCCAGATGACTTCGAACCCGACCGCAAGTCTCGTCCTGAGCAACCTGAAAGACCTGACTCAGAACGTCAATATTCTCCGCCTGGTGTGAAGACCGCTTTGGATGGGAGCAAACTTATGGATTCTTTGTAGGTACCCCCTGGAGTGGATGTGAAGGAAATGGGAATCGGTATAAACGTTGTATCAGACCCGTCTGGCCTCTTCAGTGTGAGCGCCATCGCGCCCAAGTGATACCTTCTTTCTTCTTCATCGCTTTTCACCTTCATTCCGCTTGTTGATCTGACTCGTCCTGGCAAATCAGTGGAGGTGCTGCGCGGCAGAATGCCATGAAGGTGGGAGATTTGATCTACGCGGTGGATGGGAAACCTGTGAAGGGAATGACCATCGGGGATCTCATTCAACTCATCAAAGGTCCTCCTGGCACGGAAGTGAATCTACAGGAAACCTCCGAAAAGTCTTGTGAGTCAATTTGCCTGACGGTTGCAGCAGGTGCTGTCGAGGGCTCAGTCGAATCTCCCCGATCCCTCGCAGCAGGTGCCGTTGGCTTTTGATTCCGGTTTCCTTGATTTCTCCTCTTACACCTTGAAGTTGCATCCAGCATTGCCGAATCCAGCAAGGATGGATGCTGTGAGCCGAGTACTGCATGTCAGTGTCCGTATGGACCAGCTCGCTGATTCCTTTCTTGCAGGATGAGACGGAGGAGCAGCCGCATGCTCCCCACCCTGGCATCCAACAGCCGCATGCTCCCCAACCGAGCGTACAGCAGCAGCCGCAGCAGCATGTGCCTCTTTCCAACATGCCCCAACAACAGCAGCCGCAGCCGCAGCAGCAGCAGCTGCAGCAGCAGCAGCAGCATCAACACCACATGCAGCAGCAGCAGCAGCAGCAGCAGCATCAACACCACATGCAGCAGCAGCAGCAGCAGCAGCAGCAGCAGCAGCAGCAATCGCCGCCGCCTTCGCAGATGCCTCATCTGGGTATGCAGCAGCAACTGCAGCAGCAGCATGCATCTCATCCAAGCATGATGCAGCAGCTGCCACTGCCGCCTCCTATCCCTTCACATTTGCCCCATCCGAGCGTACACCAACAGCAGCAGCAATCGCCACCGCCGCAGCATCTGCCACACGTACCTCAATCGAGCATGATGCAGCAGCACCCGCATCTTCAACATCCACAGCACCAGCCGCAGCCGCAGCCGCAGCTTCCACACCAAGAGCCGGTGCCGCCGCCACCGCCGCCGCAGCAGCAGCTGCAGCATCGCCAGCAGCAGCAGCAGCAGCAGCAGCAGCAGCAGTTTCAACATCAGCAGCAGCAGTTTCAACATCAACCGCAGCCGCAGCTGCAGCCGCAGCATGTACCTCATCCAAGCGTGATGCATCCGCCGAATCTACCTATGTCTCATCCGAGCACAAACCAGCAACAGCAGGTCATTTCTGGATCAACACAGAATGGAAGTCCAGGGCTGCTGGATCAGAGCTGGCAGCAAGGGAGGTTCAGGAGCTACGGCTCGTCTCCAGCGAGGTCACATGACTTTGAACTCATCCCGAAGACGTCGAACGTCAAGAGCTTTGACTTCGGCAACGCGGAGATGCTTTCGCATGACAACAAGTTCGACCTCGCTCGATTCTCCACGCAAGGCTCTGAGAAGTCGATGCTTTTGCTCCAGGAGGCCATTCACCATGAGATGGTTAGTAAGCGGCTCAGTGCCTCTTGTGCCTCCTCCCCGCCTGTTTGCCTCCCATCCTCTCCTCTGCCGTCCTCCACCGCTTTCCTCGCTCGTCTTTCCTTACCTTCGAATTTGCTGAGCGGCCTACAATCAGGATGAGAAGAAGTTCATCATCACCGTCACTATGACTGAGGGTTTGTCTGTCTTGACTTGTTTCCTCAGCTTGTCGTTGTTGATGACGTCAACAGATCACGTTCCGGGAGAGATGGCAAAATTCCCTCCTCTTGTGCTGGCTCGTACGCAGGTAAAGGGTCGAACAACCGACCTGTCAAACCAATTTGATCCCTCTCCTTTCTTCAGTTCGGAAGCAAGGAAACTGGAGGTATCATCGCTGCTGGCGAAGTTTGTAAGCTCGTCAAACCCGGCAGCAGGAATTTTCTCCTTCTGGTTTCGTTTCCTCAGCCTTGACATGGTTCTGCAGAGGTTGGATTCTTCTCGCTCGTGATGATGGCGAGCTAGCGTGGTATCCTTCCAGCTTTGCAGGCAATCCTCCTTCTCCTCACCATTCACTTCCTCTGCTCTTCTTGTTGCTCCCTGCTCCCTGCTCCCTGCTCCCTGCTCCCTGCTCCCTGCTCCCTGCTCCCTGCTCCCTGCTCCCTGCTCCCTGCTCCCTGCTCCCTGCTCCTTGCTCCCCCTTAAGCCTTCGTTTACATGCCTGCAGTGAATCTTCGTCCGATGACCTTCAAGATTCCCAATGCCTGGCCAGGGACGAAGATCAAGCTCGAGATTCCAAAGGTGATGACTTACAGAAGAAGATGGTGGGGGTCATTTTCATGATGATGATGATGACGACGACGACGACGACGACGACGATGAAGACGATGATGATGGAGATGATGGAGATGATGATGATGATGATGATGATGATGATGATGATGGAAATGATGATGGAAATGATGGTGGTGGTGGTGGTGGTGGTGGTGATGATGATGATGATGATGATGATGATGATGATGATGATGATGATGATGATGGAGATGATGATGATGATGGCGATTGATGATGATGATGATGATGGTGATGATGATGGTGATGATGATGATGATGGTGATGATGGCGATTGATGATGATGATGATGAAGATGAAGAAGAAGAAGAAGAAGAAAATGATGATGGAGATGATGAGATGATGATGGTGATGATGATGCTAGAGATGGAGATGGAGATGATAGCAGCGCTGGCGGTGATGGAGATGATGATGTTGATGATGACAATCGTAGGCAATCATTGAGGAGGCGCTCCATGGATCATCAAGAGGAGGAAGCAACGTGTCTTCCACCAACAATACTCCTTATGCTACTCCAAACCTCACAGGAGGTGAAGATGGAAGACGATGATGAGGAGAGAGGAGAGGATAGCGGGGGAGGAGAAAAGAAGGGGAGGGAGAGAAGAGAAGGGAGAAGGCATTAAGGAATGGGTATGGGGCAGGCAGGGGGGAGAGCAACAAGGAGTGGTAGGAGGGCAAGGGAAGAGGAAGAGGAATCGGAGGAGGAAGAGGAGCATGACGAGGAAGAGGTAAGAAAGAGATGATAACATATCGCACAGGCAACAACCTGCATGTGCCTTCTATGCACAGCAGCAGCAGAACCGAGAAATCTCAAAGCGGCGCATGTACACCCAACGTCATCGTCAACCCCGTCCTGCCGGAAGGCGCACGAGAGGGGATCATTCTGGTATGCAGGAAGGAGAGCGGAAGATGGTGGGGAGGTTTTGGAAAAAGGGAATCGGGAAGGGTGAAGGAGGAGGAGGAGCAGAATGGGTAGTGAGGGAGGGAGGATGGAGCGAAGAAGAGAGCTGGGAGAAGGCCCGTGCTGACGAGCGCTGCAGAAATGTCACGATGCTGTGGGTCAGCCTGTGATCTGGAAGCACGAAGAGGGGAAGACGTCGATCAACGTCGCAGAAGTTCACTTCCCCAGCCTCCTGCACCACAAGACTGAGAGCAAGGTCAACATCAACATGCTCCTGCACATGATGCCGGAGATGGTTGGGAGGTTCCCAGCGCTCCCAGGTCAAGCGCGTCCTCGCACGAGGAGGACACGGGAGGCTCAGTTGCTCGCAGGTTTCACGGATACCCAGCTCGAGGCCTGGAAGCAGCGGGGATACGCTGAGGAGCACCTGCCTCCTGCCCAGGTCAAAGTCAGGTGAGAGCAGATTGAGAATTCTTGCCTGCTGTTGACGAGGATGGAGCAGAATTCCAGACGGAGCTAAGCCGGGAGCGTTGATGCACGCGATCCCTTACAAAGTGAGGAGGAGGAGGAGGATGGAGAGATGGAGTAGGAGTAGTAGTAGGAGGAGGCGGTGAGGGATAGATGAAGTGTAGGTCACGATCATCTGAGCGTGAGGACGTTGCGTAGAGCAAGTGAAGCAACAAAGCATCACTAGGGCAGGATAGAGGATGATGACTGAAAGTCGAGCGAGAGGAGGGGGGAGAGG